TAGTAACCTATAGTTAGTTAGCTACAGAGTTGGTTAGTAAATATAGTAACCTATAGTTAGTTAGCTACAGAGTTAGTTAGTAAATCTTCCCTATTTTCTTAATGTTTAAATCCGCTCTTCTATGCGTCAATTCCTCTCTCTTTTCATCTCATTCTATCTCATTCTCTTAGGTTCTTAAAGAGACTGTATCTCATTCTAACTCATTCTCTTAGGTTCTCAAAGAGACTGTAGACGTATTTTTAAGTGACATACATTTGTTGAGTGGCATCCCTATTCACAAGATTGAATGTCTTGAAAGGTAACAAAGGAATTTAGACTTTGTAGCGAACTCTGATTTTCTAACTCTATATCTTTGCAACCAAATGTTTTAGACCTTAGATATTTTACACTAAGATTATGTTAGATTAAATAAGTTTGAATTATCAAGTCTACTGCCATCACGTTGCAAAAATATAGGAATACGATTTTTTTAGAATTTCCTTTCTGCTGCAAAAATTTGAAAGACACTTTCAGGAAGAACCGCAATTGAAAATAATCGATTTTTAGATAGAAAACCAAGGACAACTCATCTTCAGATAGAAAACCAAGGACAGTTCATTTTCAGATAGAAAACCAAGGACAGTTCATTTACAGATAGAAAACCAAGGACAGTTCATTTTCAGATAGAAAACCAAGGACAGTTCATTTACAGATAGAAAACCAAGGACAACTCATTTACAGATAGAAAACCAAGGACAGTTCATTTTCAGATAGAAAACCAAGGACAGTTCATTTACAGATTGAAAACCAAGGACAGTTCAAGATAGAAAACCAAGGACAGTTCATTTTCAGATAGAAAACCAAGGACAGCTCATTTTTTGCTCTGACAATGGTGTAAATTTCGACATGCAACAATCCCTTCAATTTTCCGCTTTTTTTAGTTCTTAATTCCGGAATTTTTTCCCATTTCTTTTAACATTAATCATCATTTTCTTATTTTAAGATTGCAGCAGCAGCAATGAATGTGAAATTATACTTTTCTATTTATTATGCTTCGTCATATGGGCACAAGGGCGCCGTCAGTAAACATTAGTATAATGGTTTTCAATGGATTCTTTGCTGCGTCACTTTGTATACGCATTACGGTACGCATTGCGTATTTAAATTATGTGACACACCTACAAAATGTTTAAATAGTGTTTACTTATGAATAATCCTAGCTACAGACAAAACTCATGACAAATCAAAACTACTCCTAGTAATTCGGATTTCTTCCAAGAAAGCAAAAAGAGGGAAACCCTATAATTGTTTAGAGATATAAAGATACTAGAAATTCAAGGCGCTTCGCGCCCTTCTTTCTAGCCTTAGAGGGCGCTTCGCGCCCATCTTCTAAATTAATTGTGAACATGTTCTCTTTGTGTACATCGTAAAACAAAACAAAAATAATTCGCGGATTTTCACAAAAAATTTCGCGGATTTTCAAAATTTTAAAAAATTTAATGACGATCGAATTTTGATGGAGACAAATATTTAAAATTTCAATCATTCATAAACCTTCCCTGGGGTCCCTAGATGTCCCACAAAAAATTTGGGCCCGATCGGTTCAGCCGTTTTGACGTTTATTGGATACAAACAAACAAACAGACAAACAAACAGACAGACAAACAAGCCAAATTTATATATAGATAAGGGATATAAGGATATCTTACGGTATTCTGGGATATCCCTAAAGGGAGAGAGCGACTAGACATGGTAGTTGAGCTGAAAGTGTAGTATTGTAGAGAAAAACTTTAGGATTCATTTGAATATTTTTACGGTGTACAATATTTTAATAAGGGCGTAAAGTCGTTTGTAATATTTCACCTGTTGTTCCAGCCACTAGAAGAAACGTTTTTTAGAATTCTTAAGTGACATGGACAAAACATGTAAAAAGTACTATCTTACAATTACAAGTTGCATGTATACATTGTCACAAACAGGTTAAGAAAAATAGTGAACTTATATCATTGAAAATAAGTCATTAAATTTCCTTTTAACCCTATCCCCGCTGGGGTACTTGAAAACCAGGATACGCTGGGGGGGGGTCAATTTGACCCCCCCCTCTAAATCCCATGTTTTATGTCCAAATATGACAAATGATACATCATTAGAAAGCTCTTGTGCTCTACTTTTAGAATCTGCAAAAAAATTTGCAAATTTGCGAAAATTGAATTTTTTATCGCAAAATCCAGTTTTATAGTAAAAATGTTTGCAAAAAAAAATTTGTCCAAAAAATGACAAATTATACATTTTTGAAAAGCCCTTGACCATGCCATTTCAAATATGCAAAAATTTTTGCAAAATTTTAAATAACCTGATTTTTAATCAAGAAAAACTAAAAATGTGCAAATTTCCTTTGACAGGTTTTTTGCAAAAAATTTGCAATTTTTTTTTCGCAAAACTTGTGCAATCCGTTTCCTTATGTCATAGGCTTTCCAAAAAGCTAAATTTTATCAAAATCTGACAAGTGAAAGTGGGTCAAAACAAAGATTTAGTTTGCTACAGGCAAAAGCAGTCATTCAGGCAGTGTGCCTGAGGACTCAGGCAGTTAGTATTAAAGCCCGGTTTTAGGCCTAATGGGAGGGCTTTGGGTATGTAAGAAAAGTCAGAAAATTTCAACAGCCTCAGACCACTTCTTTTTGAGTTATGTAAAAAAAACTACAGGGGGGGGTCAAATTGACCCCCCCCCAGCGGGAATAGGGTTAAAATCTCGCAGGTTTATGCAAATTCTTTCAGCTAGGATCGCTTGTTGGAGGTTTTCTGAATTTTAATTGTGAAGACGACATTTTTAATAAATCTGCGAATAAAATGATAGAAACAGTAAAGAAAATGATGATAATGAAATAATTGATTCTATGGTTCTACTATGACTTTCATAGATAATTTCTTATCATAAGTATTTTCCAAAATAACATCTATAACATTTTTTTTCATGTTTTGTTTGGGTTACTAAATAATTGTAAAAAACGTTTCTTCTGCTGATTGAAAAAACTGGTGAAATATTACAAACGTCTTTACGCTCATATTAAAAAATTGTACACTGTAAAAATGTTTCATTGGTATAAAATGAATCCTAAAGTTTTTCTCTACAATACGGCACTAACGATTTAAAGGAATTGCTCTCCTATTTAAAAATACTAATATATATATTTCCTTGAGGTCTTGCCACAAACTCTGATTTTTGTATCACCATTTCTTTGTAACCCAACGT